GATGAAAAGAATTTCAATAGAAATGAAATAATGATAGTAATGATGATAAATGATATATGTTAATGATAAATATGATATAATGATGATGAATGATAATGATAATATATGATAATAATAATGATAATGATAATGATAATGATAATGATAATGATAAATGATAATGATAATGATAAGATAATGATATAATAATAATAATAAATAATAATAATAATAATAATAATAATAATAATAATAATAATAATAATAATAATAATATAATATGATAATATAATAATTAATAATAATAACAATAACAATAATAATAACAATAATAATAACAATAATAATAACAATAATAATAACAATAATGATAACAATAATGATAACAATAATGATAACAATAATAAATAATAATAATAATAATAATAATAATAATAATAATAATAATAATAATAATAATAATAATAACAATAATAATAATAATAATAACAATAATAATAACAATAATAATAACAATAATAATAAAATAATACTAACAATAATATAACAATTATAATAACAATAAATAACAATAATAATAACAATAATAATAACATAATAATAACAATAATAACAATAATAATAACAATAATAATAAAACAATAATAACAACAATTAATAATAACAACAATAATAAATAATAATAACAATAATAATAATAATAATAACAATAATAATGATGATGGATGATGGATGAAGATGATGATAACAAAAATAGTAATATTTCAGTTTCTAAGTAACTGTTTTCTGTTACAGTATCTATATAGCTCTCTATCTCTCTCTCTCTTACTCTTACTCTTTCTCTTACTCTTACTCTTTCTTACTTACTCTACTCTTACTTCTTACTTACTTTTCTCTTACTCTTACTTTCTCTTATCTTACTTTCTCTTACTCTTACTTTCTCTTACTCTTACTTTCTCTTACTCTTACTTACTCTTACTTTCTCTTACTCTTACTCTTACTCTTAACTCTTACTCTTACTTTCTTCTTACTTACTCTTACTTCTCTTACTCTTACTCTTACTCTTAACTCTTACTTTCTCTCTTACTCTTACTCTTACTTTCTCTTACTCTTACTCTTACTTTCTCTTACTCTTACTCTTACTTTCTCTTACTCTTACTTTCTCTTACTCTTACTCTTACTTTCTCTTACTCTTACTCTTACTTTCCTCTTACTCTTACTCTTACTTTCTCTTACTCTTACTCTTACTTTCTCTTACTCTTACTCTTACTCTTACTTACTTTCTCTTACTCTTACTCTTACTTTCTCTTACTCTTACTCTTACTCTCTTACTCTACTCTTACTCTTATACTCTTACTCTTACTCTTACTCTTACTCTTACTCTTACTCTTACTCTTACTCTTACTTACTTTCTCTTACTCTTATACTCTTACTCTTACTTTCTCTTACTCTCTTACTCTTACTTTCTCTTACTCTTACTTTCTCTTACTCTTACTCTTACTTTCTCTTACTTACTCTTACTCTTACTCTTACTCTTACTCTTATCTTACTTACTCTTACTTCTCTCTTACTTTCTTACTCTTACTTTCTCTTACTCTTACTCTTACTCTTACTTTCTCTTTACTCTTACTCTTACTTTCTCTTACTCTTACTCTCTTACTCTTACTTTCTCTTACTCTTACTTTCTCTTACTCTTACTTTCTCTTACTCTTACTTTCTCTTACTCTTACTCTTACTTTCTCTTACTCTTACTTCTCTTACTCTTACTTTCTCTTACTCTTACTCCTTTCTCTTACTCTTACTCTTACTTTCTTACTCTTATCTTACTCTCTTACTCTTACTCTTACTCTTACTTACTCTTACTCTTACTTTCTCTTTCTCTTACTCTTACTCTTACTCTCTTATCTTACTCTTACTCTTACTCTTACTTTCTCTTTTCTCTACTCCTCTTACTCTTACTCTTTCTCTTTCTACAAATGACACAAAGCAAATAAATAATAATAAATAAATAAATAATAATAAATAAGCAAAGCCTTATGGACAAGAAAGTAATGGATATTAGAGAACATTTTAATATAAGCAAACTAAAGGAGAAAGATAACAATACAGCGAGAAAAAAACAAATGAAATAGAGAAGTAATGCTTGGAATTAATTAGAAATTACGAGCTTAAAATGAACATGAAAAGTACAATCAATAAATATTAATCAAATGGATTTATGAAACAGCTTAAAACAAATCAGTAAAACAGCTTAATTAACAGAAAATGAATATCACAATATTATGATAGATCATCATCATCATCATCATCATCATCAATCATCATCATCATCATCATCATCATCAATCATCATCATCATATCATCATCATCATCATCATCATCATCATCATCATCATCATCATCATCATCATCATTATTATTTCATTATTATTATTATTATTATTAATAGAAGATAAATATTACATTCAAAAGTTTTGATAAACATGACGATTACTGTAAAAGATGTAAATACTGTACAATAATAGATACAAATCATAAAAAAACGGAGAAAAAATAATAAAGTCAATAAGATGATAATAATAAAATGTGTGGCAATACCAATATCAATGATAAAAGTTATGATCTTAACAATAAAAAACATATTAACATTATAAATAGATATTGTAATTGTATGGTAACAAAAACCCTTATTATATAATAATTACTACCATCATTATTAATATTTTGTCATTATCATTACTAATTACTAGCAATGGATTGGGGTGGGGGGGTGGGGCTGGCAAAATAACAGGGGCGTCATTTCAGCTTTTTCCACCTTCCTGGAAATTTATTTGAAAAAAATGAGCTATTCGAGGAGCATTTTTAAACTTTGACCCGAGCTATAAAGGTCATTCGGGGAAAAAAATCTTGGGGGTGTTGCCCTTAAGGGGGGGGGGGAGGGGGAGCCAGAACTTGAGGGGGATATCAGTCTTGAGGGGGGGGGTGCAATAGTCCCCTAGACCCCCCCATGATGCCTCTGAAAGGTTGGATAATTTGCACTTTGGATAATTTGATAACACAATACGGAGAAAATATTAATATAAATGGAATATTTGATTCAATCTTTGTTAAAACAATTTTTTTTCCCTTAATCTTTCATAAACTTCTTTGTGGGGTTTAAATAAAGGGCTTCTTACCTAAATTACTTTATTAAAAGAAAAAATATACATGTGAACTCATATAACAATATATAAGTAGTACAAGAAATTACAATATAACAAGGCTTAATAAGAGTAATTTTTATTTCTTGGGTTTGGTAATCACATATATACAAAATAACCATAAAAAAAGGATTAAAAAACATCTGAAAAAGACATGCAAAATATTGGCACAGTCATTTTTTTAACTCATGAAAAAAAAGAAACATAACAAGCAAGCAAGATGAAAATTTAAATAACCATAAAAATATTAAATTGTGCATCCAATAACTTAATGGACAAAGTAAATCACTCATTATATAAACAATATGTTAAGAGAATACAACAGGTTTGTGATAAGTAACGCCTTTTTCATCATACTACAACGGCTTTCGACCTTCAAAAATATATATTTAGATGAAGATTACTAATTACCAGGCTGAAACAGGGTCTTTACGATCAACAGTATTAGCATATTATCACAGTCTGTCCCACAATGGTTTAACTTGAGGGAAATGCATACTTTTTGCTGTTTAATGAATTGTGTATTTCAGTTCATAATGTTGCTTTCATATTTTATATATTATATATATATATATATATAATATATATATATATATATATATATATATATATATATATATATATATATATATATATATATATATATATATATATATATATATATATTTATTTATAAAAAGAATAGCTGCAATTAAATACAACTATAATGAGCAGTGCCTTCTACAAAGTGTGACAAAGAGTAGAAAACGATATAATGAAATGCCCACACACACTGTAGTTTATTTTTATTACAGTTATCTAGGTAGAAGTGTAATCTAATGTTAACATCACAATATGTTTATCACCAACGTCTAAATGTCATCCTGTAAAAGAAGTTATTTTGCCATTATCATCATCACTTTCTTACTTGAGTATCACCCAAAAACTGGCATACTTTAAAAAGATGAATAATAATAATAATTAAAAAATCAAGAAAATACAATAAAAAAATAGTATTTCACACTTGTATTCAAAGGGGAAAAAGGGGAAATCTTTAGCAAACAGGTAATACAAAAACCTACAAAACTGCAACCTGTCTGTGTGAGCAACCATCTGAAAGCACAACATGACTTAATATCACCAGTTCTGAGAATGTTCGGTCGATGAGAATGCACCAAATGCTACGGGAATGTCTCAAGGAAAATTGGAAATGGTTTACGGCGCATACCTTGCACTGTCTCCTAGCACTGATAGTCTTTCCAGTTTAAAATTACTTTTAAAAATACCTGGGAAAAATTAGTCCTGTATTTTCCTTTTTTTCCTACTATACATGATTACAAAATAAAAATAAATGTAGTCATAACAATCCTTAAAAAAGAGGAGGAAGGAAAGACAACCATGCCACTGAAAAAAATGAATGATTGGTCCTTCCTTCCTTTATGCCCACAAAAACGCTCTTAATAACGACACGAGTTTAAAGCCCACTGTATAAAGAAAAATATACCTATCTACACATACTCTCATCACTGTGACCTTGTGTATCTGACTCCATATTATGTCTACAAGACACAACAGTAGTAGGCGAGGTAGAAGACATGTCTACAACGGTATAAAAGGCACCAAAGGTGAAATCTAAGCTACTGGCAATTCTTTAAATAATTCTTTGTCAGAGGATGTATAAATCACAAAAAAGAATTAACAATGTTCTCTTATGTAATCTTTTCTTTATGGTGGAATGAGTATCATACATTCAGTTTGTAAATATTAAAATATGTATTCCCTATCTATTGTCAAATCTGACTGTTCATTGTTGTTCATTGCCTGACTTTCAAAAGTACTATCTAGGTCTTTTTAAAAACGAGAGAGAAAAAAAAAAAAAAATCAAAACCAATGATTCTTTTATCCTATGACTGATACAGCATCTAAATAAGCTAGTTAAAAAAATATATATCAATCTATTTATTAAACATCTTATTACATAGTTCGGTATTTTTCTTATTCATTACATATGTTTTACCGGGAACAGGAGATGTATTTTTCTTGTATTTACGCAACACATAATTGCTTCCAGGAATGCGCTCGAGCTTTCGTACGTTGTTCACAACCTCAAAGTTGGGTTGCACCTGGAATGAAGAGAAGAGTACAAATTTAGCATTAATTCAGTTTTCAAAGGTATACATCAGCCAGTGGCTCCCAAACTGGGGGCCATGTAACAGAATGTTGGGGGCCATAATCGGAGGATATGTATATATAAAACAAAAGGAGTTTTGCTAGAAGGCAGCCAGTGTAGGGAGCTTACAAGTTCAGTGCAGATTTGCGCAATGCCTTTCTGTCAGACCAATGAGTAAAACGTCCCTTACATTACCCTTTTTTTATCTGATTATACGTTCTTTGACATATAACAAGTCATTGAGATGTATTAGTGTAGTAAATAATTTAATCTTAACATAATTCTAAGGTTTAATTTTTTTTATTTTTTTATTTGAAACAGCTTTATGTAATAATAATTAAATTTTAGATCTAATACTTTTATTTATGCATTTGTTACTTTAGTACCATTTCCAATATTATATGGGATTCAGCAGAGGCCTTTCATTATTTAATATTAAGAAAAGAAAAAATAACAATGGAATCAAAATAAAATTTAGAGGATTTCCTAAGTTAATGAATGTAGTAGGAACTGTAGAAAGTCACTATAGTTATGGGTTATGCTTGGTGGTGGGCTATGGACAAGAATACGTAAAATAGGTAATGAAAAAAAAAGTTTGGAAACCCACTGACATAACCAATCCAAGAGCAACACAAAATCAAATATTAAAACTATACATCTATTTCATACCACTATGAAAATAATGATCATTACCCTACAACTCTGGACCTCACCAGACAACCTCAATGAAAAACCTACCATTTGTAAACACATAATCACTTCGTCATAGAACTCGAGGTCTGTGACGAAGTTCAGCTGTGTCTGTCCTCCCGAGTTAAACTCAATGAGAGTCTGCACGAAGGAGCTGTCTACTCTGGCTACGCCCTGGACAATCATAGCCCTGGGCAAGCAATGGGTTTTTCACTTTAGTAAATACTTTTGATTTCAAGGCATAACAGTAAATAAATAAATATTATTCTCTGCATTTCTTTAATACTTAATAAATAATGAAAAATGAAACTAGCCAAATGAGAATTGAGAATAAGCGTGACGTTTCGAACTCTTCTCGATCATCAACAAAAACTAATAGATCCATTTCGGTTTTTGTCTGATGAGGAACTCGAGAAGAGTTCAAAACGTCACGCTTATTCTCAATTCTCATTGTGGCTAGTTTCATTTTCATTTTTGTGTTCACGTGATTGTGTTTGTGCTTGTGTTAATAAGTAAGTAATTTATGACTTGTGCATATCATGTAATACAACTTATGGAAAAGATTACTAAAAAGAAAAAAAGTAATATATATGTTGCTGTAAACAACATGCTCAAATTCCCAAATTCCTCATTCCCTATCCCCCAATTTAAAAATAAAATTCTAAATCATGAAAAAATAATGAAATAAAACACATGTAAAGTACATTTTCACTTTTCAGCTTTCTTATGAATGAGTATCATACATCACAGTAATACACACATCAACACTAACTCACCCACTTCTACTAGACTGTGGGCATTTCTATTCCAGAGAGACACTTGTACTTGGCCAGAAAAGTCATACGATATGGCACCATTGAGGAGGAGTTCGGCATTAAAACCATTCTGTAGGGGGACAATCTGGAGGTGGTCTTGGAGTAACAAGGAGCCCTGAGAAGAAAATCAATAATTAGTGACTGTTAGGTTATGGAGAGGAAATACATTTACCTTTAAATCTATGAACAAATGCAAAAAATATATCTTTAACAGTAAATAGACTATTTACTATATATATTTATAAAGTATGTCAATATATATTTAATAATCATATAATCTTTATGGAATCTTTAAGTTGGTATCTAAAATGCTGCGTCATTTTGTACTCACTTTGTTTTAAAATTACCTGCCCTTCATATTGCATCCATATACAAGAAGAAAAAATACATCAATGGATTTTAAGCATTTTTAAAAGTTTCTTATTTCAAGATTGATTTAAATTCTATCAATCTATCTTCCATCACATTTTAATGCCTATCCATAATAAATAGTATTATAAATCTCCAAAGAGATGTCAACTAACATCAAGCCACAGCTTTTACTTATGAAAAAACTTCATTTTCAAATTCTTTCCAAACAGGTTACCCCTTCGTTTGTAAAGAAAAAAAAGCACATGGCTGTACCTGGAGTGCTGTGGTTTTCTCTGACCCTGTGCCAGCCCATACATGTCCCATGAGCTCCCCTTGGCCAGTGAAGAACACAAATGGTCGAAGCTGTGTGTCCATCAAGGTCATCTCGATACCAGCATTGGCTTCCTCTCCATCATCGACTGCATCCTCTCCTCCAAAAACAGAAAGTCCACCTGCGAAAATGCCAATCTAAGGGAGAGAAAAAAGAAGTAGGTTAGGATTGGGTATTGAAATAGAGTAGTAAGAACCAGCGTCTTCACTTGAAGTTACAAATGCTTAGATGCAAAATTTTCCTAGTCCCTTCTTTTGGTACAACAAATGGTAATTACATTATAAATGTATATGGATGTACCATAAGTATCTCTTCTAAACCTTGATGAAGATTTTTAATTTCCAAAATACTCAAGCATAAACTAGTATTCAGGAATTCTCAGGCCCAACTACTTACAGAAAGAAGCCTCATCTGAGAGTCATCAGTATTCACAAAGACATCGACTGTAGACCTCTTGAGTAGTCCCCCATTGATTTCGAGCATGTTGCTGAAGGAGGAGTTGGCACTTTTGTCCTCAGCAAGCATTCTTGAAAATGCCGATGACAATCCTCCTTGACCATGGATGTGGTAATTGTTAAAAGTTGAGGTCTTTAGCACAGTCTTCAGTAACTGTAAGAACAAATGGAAATTTGAGAAAGTTAGCATGTCAATTCACAGGAAAAAAGGGGGGTTAAAATAAATGTTCAAATATCACTCTAATGAAAGAAAAAGAAAAGGAAAATACAATATATAAATACTGAAAAACATAAAAAAAGACAACAAAACATGGAATCAAGACAAAACCTAACAACCCACCTTCTGCAAGTGTTCGTCCTTTCTGGCTAAGTCGGAAACTCTCCCCAGCAAGAGGGTGTTCAGCTCTCTGGTTTCGTGTGAGGTCATGACATGGAACAGAGCCTTAAGGAATTCCTCACTGGGCTGATGCTGCAAGATGATGTCTGCTGCCATGGCTCGAACGCTAGTGTCGTGCTGCCTATTTAGTTCCAAGAAGACTCGCTCTAGACTCTTCAGGATCTGTTTGGAGATAAGGGTCAGTGTTATTTCCCTTATAATATATTCTCCTGCAATATTCAGTTTGCTTTCTACTGAAATAATGTATTTTCTAAAATGCAACATAACAACAGTTTAAAGCAGCAAAAAAATGTTCTCACCCGTTACCTTTTCTGTTATGTAACTACTAGGCATAGTTTGCAATGCTCTTGTTGCATATATTGCTGGTTTGCGTGCTTTGCCCTCTGCATACTTCAGGAGGGTCTCCATTGTATCTGCTTTCCTGAAGTTCTTTAAAGCACGGATGTAAATCAGCTGACAGTCTTCACTCTTGCAGTTTTCCAACTTACTTGTTATAAACTCCTGGACATCAGTAATAATCTGGAAGAGTATTTTAACATATCAGTCACTGCATTGACAGTTTGTCTTGTTGATTAGACTCTTATGTTTGGAGAGAAGAGAAGAGGGAACCTGGATAATTTTCTAATACATAGCCCAAAAAGGTGATAATTCAAACTGACAACCAGATCCTGAATCAAATCTCACGTCAAACTAAACACATGAAATATGCCACAATATCATGACCTTTCTTAGGAAAACCTTTATGTTAGTGGATTTTGAGCTAGATATACCATTATTTCTAGATCAAAGTAATGCTTGATTTTGAAATCCTCTGAATATGGGAAAGAGGTTAAACAAAAAATGACACTTGATTTTACACTCATTTTTACCATGTTTTTAATAGTATCCATCCTCTTTGATGGTGAGCAGTGAAGAACACTGTTACCGAGACTATTTTAAGCAGATAACTGAATATGCAAAATACAGTTGATGTTCAATTTTGTAAATTTTCTTTCCACTCCAGTTTCCCCATTACATAGTACACAAATATTCAGTTCTTTATGATAGTCCTCCCCATCTCTTCTACATATACCAACTTAACTAAGCATGCGCATAGCATTGCATGTACAAATGGATAATTACTAATGAGAGATATTAATTGTCATAAAAAAGATAACTTCCGAGTTAATGAGCAATGAAGAACGAAGACAGACAGAAAAAGGAACATTTACACTTACAGGCTTTTTGCAATTGTTGGAAACTTTGCAGAAAGTGTGGCTGACAGAAGCTATAGTTAGGACAAGAGTCTCATACAGCTTGTCATTATTGAGACCCTTCTTTGCAAGTTTAATTAAATCTGAAAACAGAATAAAAAATGCACAATCAAGTATCACAGTTTGTTTACTTTTCTAACAAATTTTCTTTGTACTTATGCTATGATAAAAAAAAACAAATAGTTTTAAATTAAAAAGTTAACAGGTCTAAAAGTAACTTAGGAAGACACTCATGAATCACATACCAAGAAGAGTGAAAAAAGAGAAGAAAAAGTAAATAAATGACTAAAAAAAAATGACATCACATGTAAACTAATATTTCAATACTAGAATTAACAGGACTTCACAATTTGAAAATTTGAGTGGCGGTATCATTAACTCTCACCCACATCTTATAAAGAAGTATAAACCCTCCCAAGAACCACAACGCATGCCACTCACCTTGCAGGATGAACTCAGAAGGATGCGTCGCTAAGGAGAGACTCAACAGGTACCTCTCGGGTGTTCGGACCACCAAAGTTGAGCACGGAACTTGTGCCGAGGGAATCGTCTGTGCTGCTGCCAAGATGTCGAGGAGCTGTGGCCTGTGGTGGGGGTATCAAAAATATTTCTTTTTCTGATTTGAGTCATACTTTTGCAAATCTTTAAAAGGTGTGATTTAATATTAATGAACGAAGTAAATATTTCTTTGACTTGGATTAAATCTCTCTCTTCACATCTTATAAATATTCAATCTTTATTTCAATATAATACTAGGAATCATAACCAAAACAATAAGGTTGCTGAATGCAATAAAAAATATTCATATTGAATAATAAACATTATAAAAACAAATCAATAGATAAAGAATTTAAGCCCAACATTTAAGTTGTCCCTATCTCAAAAGGCTAATGAATCCTTAAAAAGATTCCTGGATTTGGCTCATGATCCGGATCAACACTAAAATTTATTGGCATCCTTGGGCTTAGACACACCTAAATGTCATAAAAATCTGTTCATAACTTTTTAAGTTATCCTGCTAACCAATCAACAAACAAACTAACAAACCAACACTACAAAACACATAACCTCTTTGCTGAAGGTGACATTAATAATACTAATAATACTAATAATAAAAATAACTAGAAAATAATATAAAGCAACAACACAGATATAGGACTGACAAAAGAAGGAAAATGAAAAACAAAGGACAATCAAAAATATATATGAGAAAAATATAATATAAATAATAAAACAGAAATAACAAGTCTCTCAAACAAAAATTCTTTCTATGTACCTCAACAATCTATCTGAGAAAACCAAACAACACATGACAATACAAAAAAAGAATGGGAAAAGGCACGCACATTCAATATTCATCCTCTCTCTGTGTCTCTCTCTTTTTTCTAAAATCTTCAGCAACAAATTAAAACTCACATAATCTTGGCATTCTTATCTGAGTATCGCCTTGATGGTATCCAGGTCACTCTCACGCGCCTCAGTCCCTCACAAAAGCGATGGGGGACTTGCCCAGGTTCTTGGATTAGAGTGTTGTAGAGCTCATTGATCAATCAACTGCAGATGGAAATATTATTATATATGAATCATATATGAATCCTATATAAGGCAAGATGAGTTTAAATCAATACAAAAATGGTAAGAAATTAAAGGTCTTATTAATAAAATTAACCAATTGTAGTAAATCATTGGATAAAGGTGATGTGGAATGCAGTTTTATTACTATCATTCTTAGTATTCTTACCATTATCACTGTCATCACTGTCATTAGCAAAATCAGAATCATTATCATTATTACCATAATGACTATCAAAGTATGTATTACTAGGATCTTCAAATTAAATGTTCACAGAAAGGAATTATTTCACTCAAGTAACAAAACAAACCACTCACCGATTTGCAAAATTTCCTCAAGGTAACAAAAACAAGCCACTCACCGATTTCCAATATTTCCTTGAGGTAACAAAAACAAGCCACTCACCAAATTCCAACATTTCCTCGAGGTAACAAAAACAAACCACTCACCGATTTGCATGAAATACACTCCTTTGCCTCAGGATTAGTTGTGAGTTGCTCTGTGACGATCGATTTCTTCAACTTCTTGGCAATGGATCGTAATGCTTCGGCAGCTGTGTTTCCTGGGTATTTGGGGCTGTTAACTTTGCTGCGACCTGGAATAAATCGTTCATTAACAATTTTCTATATGCAAATCTAACAATCAATCTATCAATATATAATGTGGAGTTGAAGTAAAATATGTATCTTATCTCCTTATCTCACTCTATTTCTAGAGTTACTACTTAAAAGGCCCTGGTTTCTTTTGATACTAACAACAATTTGAAAAATAAGAATTGAATCCTTGAATAACTAGCATATGATGAAATCCAAGAACAAATCATATAAGCACACACACAGCTGAAATTAATTCACAAACCTAACAATATAGAAAGAGAAGAGAAGAGAAGAGAAAGAGAGAGAGAGAAGAGAGAGAGGGAGAGAGAGGAGAGAGGGATGAGAGGGAGAGGAGAGAGAGGGAGAGAGAGAGGAGAGAGGGAGAGGGAGAGAGAGGGAGAGGGAGGGAGGGAGATGAGAGGAGAGAGAGAGAGAGAGGGAGAGAGAGAGAGAGAGGGAGGAGAGAGGAGAGAGAGAGAGAGAGAGAGGAGAGAGAGAGAGAGAGAGAGAGAGAGAGAGAGAGAGAGAGAGAGAGAGAGAGAGAGAGAGAGAGAGAGAGAGAGAGAGAGAGAGAGAGAGAGAGAGAGAGAGAGAGAGAAGATAAGAGAGAGAAATCATCAGCTTACTCTTGAGTTGGAGGTTCTGCTTGCTCATCACCTCTGCGCCTGACTGCTTCCGTGCCTCCACTCGCAGGAAGTGGGTCTCCATAGAGGTAGCTTTCTCGATGATTTTGTCATCCGGGTTTAGCACGTATGAAGCAGTCGCGTGACTGTCAATCACAGCACCGAGGACCTACAAAGGTTGGGGTGTGTTGTTAGTATGGAGAAGGACACTGGTTAGGACAATGGTTATCATAACTGTCACAATAATTTTCATTTTCTTTCAATAAAATCAAATCTATCTCATCACTATATTTTAGAAAACACTGAAATAATAAAATGCCTTTTCAAAATGGATAGAAATAAGACACAAAAGGAAAAAAACGTATCTAAAAAAGAGAGCAAGAGGACGGAGAAAGAAAATGACGAGGAGAAAGGAGAAGAAAGCCCCGACGTTGCTGTGATCCTGGCCGTTTACTTTGTCAATCGGGTTATATTACAAGCGACACTTCTCTAGGCTTGGTGGATCTAAGCTGGTTTCTAAATATCTTTATTGGTATCAATATTACACGACATTATTCACAGACCAGTGGTTCTCAGACTTTCTATTACCCCTCCAGTTATTGATTAATCACCATTACAACGATCCCATTACTCTTCAGCTTATTGAAATGCCTAGTTTTTCAAGCATTTTATGTGTAAAAAATGAATCTAATAATAATATATGAGTACATTCACGTTTGTATTATCAATCTATTCATCTATTTGGTCATTCACTTATTCCTTTACTTATCATCTTTATCTATCACTCTACACCGGAGAACTGTAACTTTCAGAAGCAGTCTCATTATGCCGAGAAACTGCTTAATTACCACCATAGGGGTAATTACTACCCATTTTGTGAACTCTGTCAGACTACAGATGATTTGATTATTTGCGTAAGCTGGACAAGGAATGTTTTTGATCTGGCTCCCCTAATCCGTCAGATAATGTGCCTCAGCTTGACCAATATCGCAATAATCTCTCAGTTTGTCTGACCCTTAGCTTTACATTAAGAAAAAGAATAAAAAAAAAAAAAATAAATAAATAAATAAAAATAAAAGCACAGGAAGAAAGCATCAAGAATCTCGGAACTTCCGCCCGCATACCTTATTGGTCTGGTTGAAGAACTGTACGGGAATGACGTTTTTGCAATTCCGTTTCAACTTTGTGACGTGAGTCGGGTCAACCATGTTGTAGGTCACTTCACATTTTCCGGACGAGTCCATCTCTCTCTGCTTCACATTCTTTAGCTGATGCTGTTTGGATATGTGAAAAAACAGGTCAAGGAGAACGAAAAAAAGAAAAAAAAAAAGAAAAAAAAGAAAAAAAAAGCACAAACATGCATTTCAATTCCAAGTTCATGTTAACTATTCAGCTTATCCTACTAGTATAGCATGGACTGTCTATTCCTTCTTTCCTCTGAATCTCTCTCTACTCATACACAAGGTCCCATATAGACCACCAGACCCATCCCAGCCCCCCACTGCAACAAGACAGACCCACCAGCACCGCCCACCAGACCCACCCCAAACCACACTTGTCACCCAAACCAACCACCACATAACCTCCACCCAAACCCCACCCACCCCACCAACCCACCCGACCCAAACCACCCCCAACCCCACCCCGGGACCGAAACCATCCCACCCGCCCCCCAACCCACCCCCACCCGACCAAACCATCCACCCCCCACCCGACCGAAACCATCCCCACCCAACCCACCCAACCACTTGACCCCAAACCAACAACACCACCACTCACCCTTATCCCACCTAACCGAAAACGGACCCACCCAACCACCCCCACCCACCCGACCAATACCATCCTTAACCCAACCCCAACCCCACCCAACCGGAACCATCCCACCCACCGATACCATCCACCCAACCGATACCCTTCTACCCAACCGAAAACCATCCCACCCCAATCCCCCCCCTCAACCCCCTCCAACCCACCCCTACCCACTCCCAACCCACCTGCAACAGACTGGAGATGCCCTTCATCACATTGAGCAGCGAAGCCTCCTCCCCCTCGAAGTGGTGCACCTTCCCGACCTGGCCGCTGTTCCAATGCAGGAAGACCGGGTGCAGCGTGTACTGTTCCAGCTTGGACGATTTGTGTGCGAAGTCCCCCGGGGTCGGCCCCTGGCGGGACTTCACCGAGAGCTTGGGGGCCACGATCTGCAGAAGGGAGGGGGGGGGTAAGGAAACGGTCATGGTCACTAGTAATAGTAATAGTAATAGTAATACTAATAGTAAAACTAATAGTAAATAGTATAACATAATAGTAATAGTAATAGTTAATAAGTAATAGTAATACTAATAGTAATAGTAATAGTAATTGTAATAGTAATACTAATACTTATAATAACCAAATTGGTAAAAATAACAATGATTGTAAAAATAGTAATAAAACCCTAATACTCATACAAATAATAGTAATAATGCATACTACTAATAATAAAGGATACAAGCAAAATAGTGACATCTAAAAAAAAAGAAAGAAGAAAAAAACCTACAAATTAAAATAGTAAAAGTACTAATACTCATACAAATAATAGTAATAATGCTAACTACTACTAATAATAAGAGAGATTACAAGCAAAATAGTGAATCTAAAAAAAAAAAAAAAAAAAAAAAAAAAAAAAAATTACAAATTAATCAAAAATAAAAAAGCAAAAAACCGTCAATTCACCGTCAGCTGCAGGATCTGCTCGTGGGCGTTGCCGGGGTGCTGCCACACGGGGGTGACCTCGGCCGAGAGCTCGACGCGGAAACCCACATCCTTCGCCGTGGACACCGGCAGCGCCTGGGGCTCGTTCAGCAGCACCGAGGTCTCGTAGACGTAGTGTGTGAGCGTCCCCACCTCGAACTGCGCTGTGGTCGGGAGAGAGAGGAAAAAGGTTTTCAGTGCCTCCTCGTCTCCGAGTGCCGAACCAGCCCTGGATCGGGACTCAAATCAATCCACAGATCGGGGACTCAATCCACATGGCCCTGGATCGGGACTCAATCACACGGCCCTAGATCGGGACTCAATCCACATGGCCCTGGATCGGGATCAATCCACATGGCCATCGCGGCCACATGGCCCTGGATCGGGACTCAATCCACCATGGCCCTGGATCGGGACTCAATCCACATGGCCCATGGATCGGGACTCAATCCAATGGCCCTGGATCGGATCCACATTGGCACATCGGGACATGGCCCTGGATAATCCACATGGCCCTGGATCGATCGGGACTCAATCCACATGGATCGGGACATCCACATGGCCCTGGATCGGGACTCAATCCACATTGGCCCTGGATCGGGACTCAATCCACATCGGACATCCACATGGCCCTGGATCGGGACTCAATCCACACGGCCCTGGATCGGGACTCAATCCACATGGACATCCACATGGCCCTGGATCGGGACTCAATCCACATGGCCCTGGATCGGGACATCCACAATTCACATGGATCGGGATCCATCATGGCCCTGGATTCGGGACTCAATCCACATGGCCCTGGATCGGGACTCAATCCACATCATCCACATGGCCCTGGATCGGGACAATGGCCCCATCCACATCCCCTGGATCGGGACTCAATCCACACATGGCCCTGGATCGGGACTCAATCCACATGGCAATGGCCTGGATCGGGACTCAACACATGGCCCTGGATCGGGACTCATCCACATCACATGCCCTGGATCGGGACTCAATCCACATGGCCCATGGCCATGGGATCTGGATCGGGACTCAATCCACATGGACATCCACATGGCCCTGGATCGGGACTCAATCCACATGGCCCACGGGATCGGGAATCCACATGGCCCTGGATCGGGACTCAATCCACATGGACATCCACATGGCCCTGGATCGGGACTCATCCCAATCCACATGGCCCTGGATCGGGACTCAATCCACATGGCCCTGGATCGGGACTCAATCCACATGGCCACATGGATCGGGACTCAATCCACATGGATGCCACAACATGGCCCTGGATCGGGACTCAATCCACATGGCATGGCCCTGGATCGGGGGCATCCACACAGGCCTTCCACATGGCCCTGGATCGGGACTCAATCCACATGGACATCCACACGGACCGCCAGCCTCAACCTCAACCTCAACCCGACCACCGCCCACCTTTTCTGGGCGCGCCCTCGCCAACTCACCTGGATACGACGAGAGGAGGACGAAGGCGTGGGCGGGGGCGAGGGCACACTGGAGGGCGCCCCACACCAGCCAGCTGAGGCTCCCGACGCCCACGGTCAAGGTGCCCGCCAGACCCCAGCGGACCAGCACCAAGAAGGTCGTCAGCGCGCCCAATGCCATGGTTAACCGCTTTTTTTTCGACGATCTTTTTTTATTATTTTCCTCGCGCTCTCTCTCTCTTCTCTTTTTTCTTTCTTTCTTTCTTTCGACGATTTTTTTTATTTTCCTCGCGCTCTCTCTCTCTCTTTCTCTCTTTTTCTCTTTCTTTCTTTCGCTCCCTCTTTTATTTTTCTCTCTCTACGGCTTCTTGTTTCTATTTGACCATTCCTGTTTCTAGTGGTCTTTTTTTTTCTGCTCTTGTTTTCTTTCTCTCTATTTTTTTTCTATATTTTCTCTGTCCAAGTTCTCACAGCTTTCAGGAACGCGACTTCAAATCATCTTTAGTCCATTTTTTTCCCCTTCTTTCTTTCTCAATCTCTTTTCAACACTCTTTCACTTCGACCTTATTTACCAATCTTTGTTCTTTCTCTTTCCTCTCTCAAATAGCGAAGTTAACGACCCGCAAATAACGTGATTTCCGTTTTTTTTTTCCAATGTCTCTTTCTGGCCAATTGCACGTGGCCTACCTCACCATCCTGCTTTAAACTCCTAAAATAACGGAAGACAATCAAAATAAGCCACTCAAAGTAAAAATAATAAATAAATATAAACACTATTCGAAGTTCACGAATTAAAGTGTTTGAACGCGTAAGACAATCAAAATAAGCCACTCCAAATGTAAAAAAAAAAAAAAAAAAAAAAATTAACACCATTCAAAGTTCACGAATTAAAGTGCTTGAACGCGAAAGAATCTAAATAAGCCACTCCAAAGCAAAAAAAAAAAAAAAAAAAAAAAAAAAGAAAAAAAAAAGAAAAGAAACCCATTCAAAGTTCACGAATTAGTGTTTTAACGCGTAAGACAATCAAAATAAGCCACTCCAAAATGTAAAAAAAAAAAAAAAAAAAAATTAACACCCATTCAAAGTTCACGAATTAAAGTGTCTTAACGCGTAAGACAAAAATAAGCCACTCCATAAGTAAAAAAAAAAAAAAAATGAACACCCTATTCAAAGTTCACGAATTAAACTCCTAAAATAACGGAAGAATCAAAATAAGCCACTCCAAAAGTGAAAAAAAAAATGAACACCCATTCAAAGTTCACGAATTAAAGTGTTTTTAACGCCTCAGACAATCAAAATAAGCCATACAAAAGTAAAAAAAAACAACCCATTCAAAGTTCACGAATTAAAGTGTTTTGACATGTAAGACAATAAAATAAGCCACTCCCAAAAGTAAAAAAATTAAACCCATTCAAATTCACGAATTAAAGTGTTTTAAACGCTAAGAATCAAAATAAGCCACTCCCAAAAGTAAAAAAATGAACATCCATTCAAAGTTCACGAATTAAAGTGTTTGAACGCGTAAGACAATCAAAAAAAATAAGCCACTCCCAAAAGTGAAAAAATGAACACCCATTCAAAGTTCACGAATTAAAGTGTCTTAATGCGTAAGACAATCAAAATAAGCCACTCCCAAAAGTAAAAAAAAAAAAAAAAAAAAAAAAAAAAAAAAAAAAAATGAACACCCATTCAAAGTTCACGAATTAAAGTGTCTTGAACGCGTAAGACAATCAAAATAAGCCACTCCCAAAAGTAAAAAAATTACACCCATTCAAAGTTCACGAATTAAAAAACGCCTAAGACATCTAAATAAGCCACTCCAAAATGAAAAAGTAACACTATTCAAAGTTCACGAATTAAAGTGTCTTGACATGTATGAATCGATCATTTTCCTTTTAGGTGTAAATCACAATGCAAATATCCCGCAAACAACAGAAATATCTACGTACTGGGAAAACTGGGATAAAAATAGGAATACAAGCAGGGTTAAATTCATGAAAAATTTTCCTTCAAAAAGAAAATTAAATTCATGTAAGATTTTCCTTAAAAAGAGGAATATATTCATGTAAAAATTTTCCTTAAAAAGAGGAAAAGAGTAAATGCAGAATGCCATATATGTAAGCAAAGTTACTTACATCCTCTTTAAAATACACTGTATGAACACTCCCCTAATGGAGAGAGAAAAAGAAAAAAAAAAAAAAAAAAAAAAAAAACTGACCCACGTTGTTTCTTCGGTAAACCTTAACAAACACACTATATGACCACTCTTCAAATAATAAAAATAATAATAAACAAAATAACAAAAGAAAATCAAGTAATAAACAAAAGAAAACAAAAAAAACAAAAAATAGAAACAGAAAGAACCAACCCAAACGCAACCGGAACCCAATTCAAATTTCCCGCCCAAATTTCCCCGCCGAGTGAACCCTTCGACGCTTCATCGGCCTCGCCAACGAACCCGCACCGGGAACAGCGGCGAACGCGTCACCCCATAATAACTGTGTAACAATTCCCTGCCTGTTTACTTACACACACGCGCGCTCGCAGGAAACTAGGTGACCGACCGAACTCTGCTCCGCAACACGCGATACATATACATTACGTGAAAAAAAAAATGCGATCTAAAATTGGCGCTTCGTTTGGACTGATCGAACTCTGCTCGCAACACACGATACATATACACATAAAAAAAATTGAACTAATTGATGTCTGCTTCGTAATAGGCGATATATATATACATACATACATGCATATATATTTAAAGTAAGAAAGAAGATAAAAATCACATACAAGAAAACAAACATTCTAAAATAGGCGCTTCACACTTGGACAACGAACTCTGCTTCACAACACGCGATATACATACAGAAAAAAAGAAAAACGAAAACAATAGACAATCGCCTCGAAAATAAAACGTTATTAAATTATTAAATGCTTTAGTCCGCCGAATTGAATCGACAAACTGCACTCTGAACGGCGATAAATAGTTCTATCTTCTTATTTTTCCCGTCTTTTATTATCATCATTTTTTTTTTTAACGGCTCGTCTACCAGGGGATCAGCTGACCGTAGCATCTCGGTGGTCTACTTTCCCCCACGTGGGTGCCGGAGACTCCTGTGTTCTTCCGGAGTCATTTAGAGACAGTAATTGAAACAGCAATGAGGTTTTATGATGATGATGATGGCGGTGATGATGATGGTGATGATGTCGGTGATGATGATGGTGGTGATTGGTGAATGATGTTTTGGTGGCGGTGGTCTGATGATTAATGATTGGATTATGATGACGATGATGATGGTGATGATTTTTGTGGTGGTGGATGATGATTAATGATTGATTATGATGATGTTTGATGATGCTGGTGATGATGGGGAGGCGTGATGGTGGATGTTAATGGTGATGGTCCTAAAATGATGATGGTAATACTGATATAATTACGAAACATGCCCAAATAAGCGACTAATTTTTTTTGTTTCTCCCTTTCCAAATACAAAATCGGCCGGTTTGTTAAAATTGTCCGAGGGCCGACCCAATATTCCTATTATATATATATATATATATATATATTATATATATATATATATATTATATATATATATATATATATATATAATGTATATATATAATATATAATATATAATATATAATATGCACGTGCATAAACATCGAGGTATTTGAACAGCTGATCATCTGATAGATATATTTATCTATCTATATATAACGGTAGTTTGCATGCCATAACTAGGCTCTACAAAAATTAAAACAAAAACATAAACAAAACAAACAAACAGGAATCAAGTAACTGGTGCTGACTCTTTCCTTTCTTTTTCTCTTTCCTCCCTTTCTTCCCACTCTCTCTCTCTCTTCCTTCCTCCTTTCCTTCCTTCCTCCCTCTCTTTGGCAAAAACAAGTCAGGCTTCTCAGCTACTGATCGACTTCTCTTTCTCTCTTTCCCTCCTTCTTCCCTCCCTCCTCCTTCTTCCTCTTTCCCTCCCTCCTCCCTTCCTCCTTTCCTCCCTCCCTCCTTCTCCTTTCCTCCCTCCCTCCCTCTCTTTGACCAAAAACAAGTCAGGAATCTACTAACTACTGGAGCCAACTTC